TCAATGACTGTAAAAACAGAACACCTCCACAATAAGCGATTTGTGATCCAAACGATGACACTTTCTTAAACTGAAGACTGGGACATAATAATTTTCAACAATATTGGACTTAACGTACTCAGTCATGACAGTTTTGTTTTAACAGACAAGGAGAAGAATGGCACAGAGTGCGGCAAACCATTGCTCCTAAGATCATGCGTCCTAAAGTTGTCGAGGAAAACATCGGGAACTTTAACGCAGTAAGCAAGGATGCTGTGGCAAGTTTGGTGAAGAAAGCTTGTGAGCAAGATGATCACATGCCTGACTTGGAAAAGGAACTTTATCGATGGTCTTTAGAGGGTAACAATCAGTGTATATGTTTGCGAGGTATCCTAGTATCCCAAATCGTGCCTCTATTCTAAACGCTATCCCGGAACCCGCCAAACCTATGTTTGACCACAGGTGGCCCAAACATACGCTATAAGGAAAGGGTGTAAAGTAATAGACCTTTTTACCGATACGGCGGCCATATTGAATTAATTTGAGTTAATAAGGAATATCATGGGATGCCCAGGGGGCATGAGCACGATCCTTTCCGGCTCGCTTATTTTTAGAAATATGGCCTTTCACTGTATATTTCTTGGAGAAAAGGTGATCTTTATTACATCCAAACACGGCACAACGATCTTATTTTCCCATAACAATCTTATTCTAAGAAAACATATAATTGTTATTACATCAGTATAAGGCTTTATTACGTTTAGGATCGTTTACATTAGGCCTACATTACATTTAGGCCTTCTACTTTTCCAAGAAAAGGTAGAAAGCTCATTGTCAAATAAAACTCACGTGCACTAATGACTGAACCATATTTTTTTCCTGGCGTTTATTCTAGGTATGGCTACATTCGCATTTGATACTCGTCTTGGATTATATGAGGATCCACCGCCACAAGAGGCACATGAATTCACAGAGGCAATCATCAACTTTTTCGAAATTTCCCAACAGCTTTTGTTCGATGCATTTTACCAAATTGCTTCCAAGTATATTGACACACCACTATTTAAAAAATTTCTCAAGAATTGTGACACTTTGTTGGATATCGGAGGGAATTTTGTTAACAAGAAAATGATGGAGCTAAAAGAAATGACGGAAAAGGGAATTGATCCTGCCAAGACTGAAGGTGAGTTAGTTGCTTTATTATTCATTCAAAATAATTCCTATAGTTTAAAAACAAGCTAAAACATGTATACCTTCGTCGTTGTTAAGTTCACCTCGATAGTGCATGTTTAGAAGATAAAGGGGTCGGGTTCAGGTCTGCAAATATGCTGCAACCAGCAGATGTTGTCCATCGAGTTGTCTTCTTGCTATGTTTTTAGACAATAGTTCGTAGCGACACGAGTGAAATGTTCCGCCGACTGTTCGGCCATTTTTCTTTTCACAACCAAAACACCTCAACCTCGTCCCTAGGTCTTCTCGGTTAACGGTGCATTAACCTGCAACTGTGCTGCACTTTTGACGTCATCGGTTGATTAGCCACAAAATTCTTCCAAATTTGGTCAACCGTAGCTGGTTATGGTGAATTATGCGTGTGCTTTTAGCCTATCAGAAACGGAGAAATATTTTGAATGAATAATACTGACATGACTCATGTTCATCTGCATTTCTTCCATACAGCAATTGATGAGCATGCTCAGCTTGCAAGGCAAGCTACGGCCGCACGAACAGGGGGTGCATTATCCAGCATTATTATTCATTCAAAATATTTCCCCGTTTCTGATTGGCTAAAAGCACGCCTCAACACACCTGATCACCCCTTTATCTTCTAAACATGCACTATCGAGGTGAACTTAACATCGACGAAGGTAAGCATGTTTTAGCTTGTTTTTAAACGAGGAATTATTTTGAATGAATAATAAAGCAATTAATGAATTCGGCTTTCGTAGGATATAAAGAATTATGCAGATCGAGGAGGGTGTTGTCCACCGAGGCCGAAGGCATAATTCTTCATATCCTACTCAGCGTCATTTATTAATTGCTAATTATATGAGTTGGTCACTACACCCAGGCAAGATCGAGCCTGTACGTCAGAAAATAATAATCGAAACCCAGATCCCCATTTCAGCGTAAGAGGAGTAAAAGATAGCCATACCTGGGTATATGATTGCTTTGGGAGAGGTCGTAGTCAACCCGGCCACCGACACCGTACAAACGACCTATTGACGGGATCAAGCAAAACTAACCACGAGAGAACGACTGGAGAACTGACAATTTGACTGACAATAGACGATTGTTTAACTTTGACAACAGGGACTTTAAGATCCAATGACGTGGACGGTAACGAGAACGTCAAAAAACTATAGGTTTGATTAGCAAAACAACAACTTTGCACGTGCACCAAGCTTTTCTGTACATTTCTCTGCCCGTTTTTTTCACGACTACGACGTTAACATGCCTAAATTCGCGTTTTATGGAGGACGTAAACAAGCAACGACGAAATTTTATTTCTTTTTCTGTACTTGTATATCTGTACTTGTATATGCATGGTGCGTACATTTGACAAAGTACGTGGGTAGGAATAATTGCGATAAAGAATAAAAGAACGCAAATTCACTTTTTAAGCGACGTTGTCATTGCCGTCGCGTCGTTGGATCTTTAAGTCCCTATTAGACGGATCGAAACGCACCAATGACATTACCAGTCTTCATATAGCCAATAACATCACGGCTTAACTGACGGACGACCAACATCGACGAACATCGCTACTTAATATAATTGACCAATCAGGTCAATAACCAGTCAGAGTTTATTATCAACTGACTTGATACTACTCACTTTGACTATGAAGATGACTACCGCAAGTCACTGCGATCAACAACAGTCCTATTGTGGGCTACGTTCACCCGGAACATCATAGTCAACCTACTTGGGAAAGGTCTATGGATAAAACATTGTTTTCTTTCTGTAATGTAGTTGTTCCGCTGTTGACTTATTTACTCATGAAGAAAGATCTTACCCCAGAGGAGGTCAATGGACACGTAGTTGATGTTGTCGCTGGTGGTGTTGATACGGTAAGAAACTCTAATGATAATTCATTTGATTGAGAAGGTGGAGCAAAAGTTCAAAATTAGAAAAAGGAAGATGACTGAACTATAAGAAAAGACAAAAGGTATTATTACAAGGCTGTAGTCATTTTATGAAAAACGAATCAAGGTAATTTTCATTAAATACCCCCTCTCCCCTCGTGACCCTTCGAACATAGCGGGGAACGTCCGTCTCCCCCTGGGTATGGAGGTTCTTAAAAGCTCCTGTGTTAAAAGTATCAGTACTTGGAAACCAAACAGAATTCATCTCAGTCTGGATAATCAGGTATCGGAACTCTTATGCAGCCGGTTTTTGTGTCGCCAGGCAATATATGTATCATGATAAGATAAAGACTGCTGTGGGAACCTCGCTTTGATCAGGGGTGGCAAGCTACAGTAGTACGAGTCCAATTCACGGACCGGGGGACGAGGTTGTCTAGGAAGAACAGTTAAAGTAAACATTCCAATTTTAGCAGACTGGCTAAAAAAGGGTGATTTACATATACAACATATACATTTATATATCATAACTAAGAAAAATTTTGTCTCCTATCTGAGCAGATATCAAATTCTGTTTTGTGGTGGTTGTACAACTTAGCACGATTTCCGGAGGTCCAAGAAAAGCTGTACCAGGAGATAGAAAGTGTTTTGGGGGAAGATGATGACGTCACTCCCAAGCATCTTGCTAAACTAAGCTATCTTAAAGCTTGTCTTAAAGAGTCCATGAGGTAAAACAGTTCAACCACACTTTATTTTAGAGATGTGTGAACTATCAAGGGCGGATCTAGGGGGAGGGTGCAGGGGGTGCGCACCCACCCACCAAGTCCCCCCCCCCCTGAGAGGGCTTCTGACAATTGGTACTTTGCAAAATATGCAGATATGTATGATATGTATTCTCTGAAGTTCACATTATGCTACCGCCTAATCAAAAGCCTTCTTCGTATTCGCTTGTAAATTTGTTTACAATTTACCAGTCAGTTACGCCACATTCTTAGTGGTGCACCCTCACCGCCCCTAAGAAAAATCCTTGATCCGACCCTGGTTATTATCGCGTTCGCTAGAACGCATCCTAATCTAGTGTTCCTGTGGTACAAAGGCAGAAATTTTCGAGCTATCACGGGCGACTGCCGATCTAAGCCAGCCCTATATATTGTATCAGGGGCATCTCGGCCGCAGGAAACTGGACTTCTTTGGACTCGTTTTCGTTTCCTTTAGTCTCGTTTTTATGCAGATGGCTATCCAGGGACCAGGCTCCACAGTGGGGAAAAAAGGCAAAAAATGGGGTCAAATAGGAAAAACATCGGTGAGCAAAGCGAGCCCGGCGGAAGTCTGGGCCACCCTTACCCCTTCCCAAACTACGGCGATTTTTTCCTTATTCCCCCAATGCGGAGCCTGGTCCCAGGCTAGCAGATGTCATGCTCGTAGAATACAGAGACGAACGCGGCTCCATAATCAATGATTATGACTAGTACGGTACTCCTTCCTTGCCGGCGGGCTTCATACTTTGTAGTGCAGCTTTAGTGCGCGCGCTTGCGGAACACTATGGGTACTGATATTTGATCATCTATGCATCTAAGAAACTTTGGTTGTGACAACGTACATTCACCCAGAATTACTGCAAAAAGATGTTTCTCAAAAGATACCTCAAGAGCTTCGCTTTTGACCTTGGCTAAATCTATATATTACAATTTCTACTTTTTTTTATTATATTAGGATGACTCCAAGTAGTCCGTCCCTTACAAGAGTTTTGGACCAGGATGTTGTTTTATCTGGATACTATGTTCCAGCAAAAGTGAGTTAGAAATCCCAAGGTTGAAGTCTCAACCCTAAAACTTTTCTCTTGGAAGCGCTGTTGTACATTAGAAAAAGGCTTCACCAAAGCTTTCTTTTGGAATCCATAAACCTTGCAGCACAAGTGATGGCAAGAATCCTTGGAGCAAACCATAAAAGACTGCTCTTAAATGAAAAATCTGGATATGCTGACAAAATTTCTCTCGTTGCTTTATTAGAAAATTCTCTCCCCTTTCTCCCAGCTCCTTTACGAAACATATGAGAAACTGATATAATTAGCTTGTAATAATCATGCATTTACCATCTTTCATTCTTTCACCAAAACGAAACATATTCACCGCGTCCAATGTCAAACAATGTAGCTGAAACGAGTTTGGGTAACTAGTTTCTTTTGCACAGTTTACAAGATAATTTATCCCAAGACTTTTCATCCCTTATTTTGTTTTTGCTGACTTACCTACTTCATATATCATGCAGAATAATTTTTTGCAGACCCACGTAACAATGGAATTTTACGCCACAACTCGCTCTGAGAAGTACTTTAAAGAGCCTTTGGAGTTCAAGCCGGAACGCTGGCTTAGAGAAAGTAAAGAGGTTCATCCCTTTTCTCACCTACAGTTTGGATTTGGGCCTCGCATGTGTCTTGGTAATAATTAACACCAGATCCGTGCTAATTTTTTTAATTTATGTTTTATCCAGCGCCACTTACGTTACTTAAAGAGAATCATATTCCTATTGACAGACATCACGAAGTGTCTCCTACCTCAGATCCTAGCTTAAACACTAGTAATGTTGTCAATTGCAAACATGAAGACATGCGGAAATTACAAATAATCTTGTCTAAAATAAAGTTCAGTTCTGGACATTTAGTGTCCAATCCGTGCCATCTCTTGAATAACAAATGAGTAAATGAGTAAAAACAAAACGAGGCGAAATGAACCGGGATATAAGTGTGTGACGCGCGAAACCAACTCTTGCGTTTTGGAAAGATTTTCTCAAATTCACCCGAGAATCAATTAAGCAAAGAATTATCTAGGAAACCCACCTAATTATTTCGAATGTTTCCTGTTGTTATTTTTTTCGAAGGTGGATTATTGTCATCATCTGTGCGGTTTGCTTTCAGTACTTAGCGCTAAAATGTTACACTTTTTCTACAGGTCGTCGAGTGGCTGAATTAGAGATGTATGTGCTTGTATGCAAGGTTAGTGTTTTTAAGTTAGTTTTTAAGTTAGGAAAGAGAACAAATATGGCCGCAGTGACGTCACGTGATAACGCTCTATTGCCCACGTCGGAGACAACACAACCTGCATGCGGTAAGCTCCGCTGGAAGCAATTGCCAACACCATAATAAATGGTCCCCGTAGATTTACTCACGGCAATCATCGCACGGCTTTTCCGTTATAAATTGTTTTTATAACAAGGGTGCCGTGAACCAGACGGCAACACAGTTTGCAATTCGCACAGATTTACTAGTAATAATTTGCAATTTCAGTTTTTTTTTCTCCTAATCTTTCATGTTCTCTTCTTGTTGCAGTTACTTCAGAGATTTCGCCTAGAGTATCATCACGAACCATTAGAAATGCGTCTAAAGTTGTTAACGGCTCCAGATAAAGCGGTTAAGATCAAGTTTGTCGACCGCGTCTGAGAGTCAAGGCTACCAATGTGTTCCTATAGGTTAATGGCAGATTTCTTTAATGTTTCTTTAATTGTTCGCAATAGTGTAAAAACTTAAGATCATGAAAATAAAGCAATTTATCAACACTACCACTAAAATTATCACTACAACTACCACTACCTTCATTGGATAAGAGTAAAATCGAACAAGTCAATCCAATGATAAATATCATCATCGACAACAAAATAGCAATGAAAGAAGGAATCAATTTAATGGTATCTCGTCTTCATTTCGTGAATTGTTTTGTGGAGTTCCCCATGGGTCTGTTTTCGGTCCCTTGATCTTTTAAACTTATATTAATGATTTGTGGCACATTTTAAATATCTATGACCTGGTTTTATTTGCTAATTATACCAATTTATTCTTTTCTCATATTGGCTTTACTACATTAATGAACTTGAAAAACTCTGAAATGCTCTTAAAGTTATCTGATTGGTTTAAAGCCAAAATATAAAAAGTCGAATTACATAATTCTTAAACCCAGGCAGAGAAGAGATGAACCCACCTTAAATATAGAGATGAATGGTCTTAAGATAATCCAAGTTTAAAGAAGTTAATTTTCTTGGTGTTATTTTAGATGTCTTTGATGAGTCATTGTCATGGAAGCCCCATATTTCTCAGTTTCCGAGCAAAATCTCCAAGTCCGTGGTGGGGGCTATTCGTAACTCGAGTTTTTGTGTCACAAAGACAGCTTTGTGTACTAATAACCGTGGAATTGTAAGTACGTAAAATGGATCAGGAGCCTGGAAGGTGTCCGCCTTTAAAGAGATTCACAAAAAGCGACTGAAGATCGGCGGGAAGGTGTCTCTGTCGCAGGGATCCCAAGAAAATGACTGAGGAATAACAAGGAACCAACTCCAGATGTCGGCTCAAGAGATGTGTCTGATTTACAGCGATGCCTGATAAGAAAGAAATATGATTGGCCCCTTCTACGATAGTGAGACATGTGACGTCACGTCACCATGGCAGCCAAATTTCTGGATCTAAACAATCTTTCTTGACGGAGACAGCCATTTTTATTGTTGAACGATGGAAGAAAAACAAGAACTACTGTTTTGTTCCTGAGTTTAATCACGCTCAGAAAAGTCAAACATACATTTTTTTGTTTTCTCTGTCATATTTGCAAGAGCACGGTTTGTTGATATCCAGGGATTTCGCTGCTATGGTAACAAGACGTAACAACTTGTCTTCTCCATTAGTATAAGATTTAATGGAGCCGAGACCAATAATTGTGGAATAAATAAAAACATTTTAGGAATGAGCAAGACTGAGTTAGACATCTTCGGGGTTGGTAGTAACTGGTGAATTAGGAACCTTGCTTCCGTTAGGTGGGTTTCGATCAAAATCCGGCTTCAGTTGTTGGTATTATTAGGCTCAGTAGCTACTGTCTTGTGCTGTGCATGAACAGATTAAAGAGCACAATAGGGATATACGAACTCAAACCTCAGCTGCTCTGAACACGCTAATAAGAACAAAGATTCAGGTAGAATTATTCGATTGGGATGGCTAGCCTGCGAGCAAGCTCTCCATTTGCAGGAGTCGCGAGAAGTCACTACAAACTCGGGCAATATCACCCAACCGAAGTACGATGTTTTATTACATCTCTTAGTTAGTACTCGCGCTGTGATTGGTCAACTTGAAAAAACTCAGTCGGTAACTACAGTACGGACCTCAAACTCGGTTAGTAAGAGGTATGTAATATCACACTGGTGAAAACAAGTGTCCATCTTTCAAATAAGCGCCGCCCTCTGTGAAACAAGCAGCGCATTTTAGGTACAAACAATTTAATAATCACCATGGCGCCTTTTCGAATAAATACGTTGTAAAAAATAGGGTAAAGCAAAAAAGACTGAAATGACCGAATCTCTAAAGATATGATTTTGTAGGATCCAATAACTGGTTTAAAAGCGGCTCTTTACAACTAACATGAATGGCGTCTTTTAGTTTGACTCTGTTGACGACTCAAAATGATAAGGAAAAAAATAAAGGTCCTTTTCCTTCATTGACGCAACTAATTCACAATTTTGAATAAAGCTAAAAAAAGAAAAACACCTGAAAATGAGCCAGCGCTACCTATTTCCAACCGTTTGTTTCATTTACACCCCAATCTGGTGTCCACGTGTTTCAGTGTATTTTGTCAAAATGACCCCACTTTAATTTTGTTCCTCTTATTTCTGTGTTTTTTTTGTAGATCAGAGCGACAAAGTCGCAGAAAAGTAGAAAGTCTAAGTTTTTTTTTTAGCAGCAAACACATGCACCCACTGGGGCCCTATACTTCAGCAAAGAGCAAGGAAGCCGCGCATTGTGCACGATTTAGGGCACTGGGAACTAAAAAGTACAAAATCAAAGATGGCGCGCGGAAGGCAATGCTGAAGGCATGTTTGGTTTTTCTCTCGTTTTTCATCTATTTTGCAAGGTTAGTAGCGATTCTAGGTTGATCAAGCAGTAAAAACTGTAGAAGGTATCTTTTTAAGAAGTGTTAGAAGTACTTGTGGTAATTGTTTACGTTACATTTGCTATTTGGTGAGACTGTAAGGCTTAAAGCTTATGTGCAACTCTTTCAATAATTCAATCCCCGCCTTCTTTAAGCCTCAACGCTTGTAATTTAAGGGGATTTCGTTGCGTATCAACTAGTGTTTAAAGGCTCTATTTGCAAATTGGCTCTGTAAAATTTTATAAATTAAAAGTGTTACAGTACTAGTAGCAAATATTTTATTTGTTTGCTCAGTAGCCAGGCCTCTTAGGATTTTTGGGGAAGAGGTCGATGAAAAGAACCTTACGCAATGACTACAGTTACAACAACAGGAATTTTACTAGTGATATCAATTTCTATTCTTTGAATTGGTTGTGATTTTTTCAACTGGGTCAAATTTTCTGAGTTACTGGTAGGTAAACTTTCGGGGGGGAGGGGGGGGGTTGATAATTATTATAGGGACTGTGTCTAAAGCAAAGAGCTGCTTCATTGAGCCTCTAAATAAAGTGCAAGTAAGAGATGGGCAGATGGGGTGGAAGGACCAAAAGGCAGGCAACCTTCTTGTGAAGTAATTGACATTGCAGTCCTTTTGTAGACTTGGTCTCTTTTTTTTTTTTCATTTGTTTATTTTCTCTCTTTTTCCCTTTTGTTAAAATTGTTAACTGTTTTAATGTTAAGGAAAATTAGTGACCAATAATTAGACTTAATTTTAATGAATTCTAACTGTTTGTAGAGAAGTTTTTTTAAAAAAAACTAAAGCAAAGAGTTGCTTCGTTGGTCCTCTTCTCAATGCTGTCAACTCTCTCATATAATCCAGGAGACTCCAGATTTTGGATCATACCTCCTGGTCCCCAGATTAGAGTCTGATATCTCCCGGATAATCTCCAAAGTTGCTATTCCTTGTAGACTCGACTTTCCGACCACAAAATGTCAAATATTTTGTATTGTTTGAGCTACTGTTAAAATGGAACGTTTCCCCATAAATTGTGGTATGCCACTGTAATTTAAACAATAATGTGGCTAAATGTGAACTGGTTATGTGCTACATGCATGGATTGGAATCAGCGAACTTTTTTTGCACAAATAACTTCATTTGTCGTGCGATATGACGTCATCTATCATTTCTTCCCTATCAATGCTCAATATTTGATAACGTGGGGGGTTAATAGCCCTGTCTTGTCCTGCCATTAGTGGGACACAACTTCATAAGCAGTGCCTCGCCCTCCCCTCCCCCCCCAAAATGAGGAGAACCCCTTCTTACTTTTTAAATGAGTATATCTTGGGACTCGATAAGCTCAGTAAACTACACCTCGTCCCAAATCTTGCCTGCGAGCAAGCTCTCCAATTATATATGGTGAGGCCAGAAATGAGCTGCAAGAGAATGTTTCAGCTGAGGTTTGAGTTTGTATATCCCTATCATGCTCAGCACAAGACAGCAGCCGCCGAGCCTCTAACAATGCCAACAACTGACTAAAAGTCATTTAATCACGACAAGCTTGCAAATTGTTGCCTTTGAAATAGCTTCAAAATATAATGCTAAAAAGTCATCCGAAAATATTCCAAAATTTTCAACACCATTAAGTCTTTGGAAAATTGTTGGAACACACAATAGTGCTGGGACATTTAATTTCCAAAATCCCAGTCATAAGACGAAAGTCTAAAGCATTGACCCAGAGGTTGGCACACACAAAGACCTCCAAACATTTATCAATGCCATCTTAGATATAACCTAAGTTTAAGATCAATATTTTGGAAGAATGTTCCCAGCAACAACAATATTACCCTTTCAAAAAGAAATGCACTATTACCTCCCAAATACTACAATAATTATTATTGCAATGTCGTGAAAACAAAGACCTCCTAAATGTTGAGTGAGTGGCTGGCTGACTTTCTGACTTGCTGATTGAGTTACTGACTGATCAGGTGGCTGACTAACTGATTGACTGGCTGTCATGTTAACTGACTTGTAGACTGACTTGCTTACCAACATAGTGGTCAGTTGACTGGCTGACTGGCTCAATTTCTGACTAGCTGTTTTACTGATAAACTGATTGACTGACAGTCGCATACCGATTGACTGATCATGGCCGCTGGCTCATTGACTAATTGACTTGACTGAAAAGAATCAAGATTACTTATTATGAATCAAGATTACTGATTGCTAATGAAGATGGTCAATTTTCATTTCAGATTGGATGTGACCAGCAGATGTCCTAGGACTTCAGAAGCCAGGATTTTGAGCTTATCTTCAGTACTGTAAGTGCTGTATACATTGCTTTGTAATCTACAACCCTGGACAAAGCTGTTGAGACAATTCCATTCCATTTATTTTCTAACTTTTGTGGCCTACTCCCGTCTCTTCTAAACAGAAAAAGGAAGCCCCCTCCCTACCCCCTATTCAAAGTTGTCTTGGTCTAAAAACCAACGTGTATAATTGCCATGCTATTGTAAACAACTTTGGATAAGGGGAGGGGGGAAATCGGGCATTTATTTGGCTGAGGTTTCAGTTTTTGCCAGGATGATAAGAAAAAATAGGCA